CTTGGACACGTGACAAGAGGAGGTAGTAGCCCATTAGGGGGACAGCATGCGGGCACTTGGGCTCTGCACTAAGAGACTATAGGACTAGGCAACCTCATCATTAATGTGCAGGCTCTTCCTGGTTCACTAGAACAAGCGTTTGCTACACAGTCACAATGGTACAGCTCCAAGTTGGGGGACTTATCAACTGACTAGCAGGGAGTGAGGTAACAGCCATTCCCAGCTGCTAGTTTAGGAAGTATCTATTGGCTTAGGTTTAAGCAATGGAGTCTCCCCATGTGCCCACATTTTCAAAAGGGGAGGACAAAGAATCGAGATTGTACAGACAATATAAAAGAATAAAGAACTGCTAAAATCACCCTGTATCCGCAGTGACTTTTTCTACATTGAAAATCTGCAGTATGCTGAGTTCCAATAGTTTTGCAAACACTATGAAACAGCAATTTGGAAAGTATATTTTGACCCAAACATAGAAACAAAGTCATTATTTTTGTTTTTTAAATGAGAATGAATATACTTTTCTATGAGTATCTAAGTCCAAAAGACCAAAACCGGCCACTCACATGGGCCCCTTGGCACACGCATGCCTGGGGGGCATCACGCTGTGATGCTGATGTTAACTCCTTACTTCACTTCAAAGGTGTTGAGGCTACAAAGGGGCACGCTGCCTCAAAGCTCTCTGCCAGGCAGATGATCTTTTTAATTCTTTTTAACAGCAGTAAGCCGGCTTCTACCCCCATAAGAGCCATCCTTCAAGGAGGCTCAACATAGGCGGCTACTGAATGTCCTACAGCTGTCAGCGGGGCTTCTACCTGCTGCCCTGACCCAAACGTCCTTCTCCAGCAACCTCGCTTCCCCCGGAGAAACCCACAGCTTTTTAAGAAGCTAGCCATAGCTGTCCCCCAAGTCATCAGAAAGTGAGCGAACAGGGTTCTGCCACAATACTCCTCTGAAACATCTGTTCTAACAGCAACCAATTAAGGTGATGACAGAGCCCATAAAAAGAAAAGCATGCTCACACCAGTGCCATCTGAAATGCCTTGTGCAGTAAACAGCACAGGAGTCAGTTATCCGGCTTACGCTGGCTTCAGCCTCTAGGTTATGAAGTCAATACTTTAAAAAAAGCACCATAACTCAGAGTACAATCAGCCAAAAACATTAAGCTGTTCTGCACTGATTTGGAGATGGGATAACGGCTTGAGAAATCATGAAACGAGGCCTCTGCCAGGAGTTATACTAGCTCTGCACTGGGATCAATTAGAACCTCTGCGTGACCCCAGACTCCTCACAAATGCAATGCTCTAAACACTTTTTTTTTTTTATTAAAGTATTTACCATTAAATCAGCTGCTAAAGTGGAAAAACAAGATTTAAACTGTAATGAGGCCTAGGAAACAAACACCAGAGGAGGAGAAGGGAGCCAAGAATGTCACAGGCGCTATCCTCTCCTGTCACCGTCCTTCATCTCCAGAGCAAAGCCCACATCTCTGCAGGTTCACGAGGGGAGACCGAGTCTCTCTCAGCCCCCATCAATATGAGGCTGCAGACCCCTATCCACCACCCACCTTAAGAACCTGCAGTTGGTCCACAGAATGAACCCCAAAAAGAATGATGGGAAATCACAGAGGACAGATGCTACCTGCATGCTAGGCTCTGTCTTTTTGTCACAGACACTGCCGAGGATGACAGAGGCTGCGCCATCCTGAGGTCGGCCTCCACGCAAGGTCTCCTCCCTGGCTTTTCTGCCCTTCTGCTCAGTGAACTCCGAGCAGGGAATCCTGAACCCATGAAGAACAAGAATAGAAATCAGCTGGCCAGGTTTTCATGCCAGTGACATGGCTGCTTCATCCTAAGGAATGGCTGATGGAAGCAAGTGGCTGTTCACTGCCCACTGGTGCTGTGTTTAAATTCTGCTTCTCTGGGAAGGCATCAGTAATATAACTGCAGAGCACGGAATAAGCACAAGAGGTAAGATGGAAATGTCACTGTGTGACAGCAGCGTGCTCACAAATGGCCACACCCACAAGAGGGACAGCTGGCTCAGGCTTCCCCTCACACCCCAGGTGTGCTCTCCTGCAGCCAGATGGGCGAGGAGGACAAGCGCAGGCAAGGACAAGGGCACAGGTATCCCTGGTGAGGACTCTCATCAGTAAAAGCAGGAGACCTGCGTCTTTACTGACATCTGATCTCAACCCCGAGGAATAGGAACTGGTGCAGACATGCAGAGGAACACTGCGATCAGTGGGCCCAGACAAAGAGGGTGACACATGAAGCAGCTTGGTGCAGAAACCCTGGCACACACTCAGAGCAGTGCAGAGTTGAAGGCACAGGCACTGAAGTTTGGCAGCAACACAATGATGCAAACTATAGACACACAAAGAGGGGCAGGGCAGGGTAAAGCACTAAAAGAGGCCCAGCCAGGACGTGAGCAACCACGTGGGCCATGCATGTTTCACTGTCTCTGAGATGTGGGCAAACAGACCACGGCTACAGAGGAGGCTGAGCCCAGGAAGTGGGGATCCCAAGAATCCAAGTCATGGCAGAACCCTGCACCCACTGGAAAAAGAACTCACTCAGTAGAGGAAACACCAAGACTGATGTCAAGCAGCAGTGCTGGTTTACTGCAGACCCAGGAAGACCCCTTGCCACACACTCACACAGATACAGCTCAGAACCCTCTGTGCCTGCTACCCCAGATGCCACATCAGATTCATGCTGTCCCTGGTGTCCGGACAGAATCACAACTATAGTAAAGTATGGAATTGGAGCTCTGTGGAGTCCCAAAGTGGCACCCCCTGCAGACAACAGAAGGAAACTCCTCAGAAGCACAACTTACAGAGCAGGATACACCCATAAACAGGAGGACACAGCTACAAATTGCTCACCTTGAAAGCATCAGAGCCAAAGCCAACACCTTTGGACAACCTTCTGCTCAGCTGCAGGAAGCTGAGGCAGGATGAACTGTCCAAGGGTCAGGGAGGCTGCTCAGGTTTCTTCAAGAAAGAGAAGAGCAAGCAGAGCAGCACAGACCATGCGCAGGCGACAAGGACCCTGCCACCTGCTTCATTTGGCCAGACCATATAACTAGAGGGGACCCTGCACAAGAACTCTGGGGTCTGGGATCCTCTCCACCACAGCGACAGGCACATCCTCTGTCAGGCCACACTTAGGACACACATTGCCCACAGGTGTGGTCAGGGGTGGTGGTGACAGTGGAGGACAGCAAACAGTGCCCTGCCCAAAGCCCAGCTTCCTCCCCTCTGCACAAGGGCAAAGCCGCCATCTGTCCTGGGCTGCCACCTTCTCTCTGGAGCCTCACAAGAAGCCCAACTCCTGCTCTTCTCAGAGCCATTCAGGACAGACCTCCTTATTTCCAATGTACGCATCTGACACTGACGCCCAGAAACAGAAACCCAAAAACACACAATGCCCAGGCAGCCCATTCACCTCCACTAGGAGCAGGTACAGCTCGGCACTCACTTCCGCAGCAATAGCCCACCACGTGCTAAGTCTCAAAACGTAATTCAAAAATAGATAACAAAAACTGGTACTACAGACAACTGGGACCTTAAAAATAGAAACACATGGACAAACATATGTTGTTCTGTTCTACAGCATCACAAGCGCCAAACACAGACATGGGAACACCTCCTGTGAGCTGTGAAGGACCACACTTCTTGCTTTTCTAGAATGACTGAGCAGCCCCAGCCTGAATGATTAACTAAGATCCTGCCAAGCACACAGTAGGAGCTTTACTGCTGTTGCTAGAGTAAGGACATGTGCAGATTTGGAACAGTGGCCCGGGGCATCCTCATAGCTGTGAGCAGCACTCATGTGGTATACTCAGGTCATTCTTGGCTGAGGCAGGGATGTGTTCAGTCTCCATGAAGGGGAAGGAATAAAAATCAGGTCATAAGTCACATTCTAGGGACACAACAGCAGTAGCAGAGCAGGGCAAGAAGGACGGTGCACTGGGAAGATGGCACCAGATGCCTTGGGAGACGCTGGAGGACTCCTGTGGAGTCAGGCTCATACTCAGGAAAACTAACATAGGTAAGACATGACAAGGGCCCCCAGCTGTTAACAGAAGGCAAGGGACAATTCAGGTAATGATGGCAGATCTGAGTCACAGTCACTGAGGTAGGGCACAGTATGAAGGTCCTTACTCTAGCAACAAGCAATAAAGCTCCTACTGTATGCTGGGCAGGATCTTAGGACCCAAGTGACACACACTCTCTCAAGTGAGCTTGTAACAAGGCAAGAGCTGGAGACTTCCTCTCCGCCCCCACTCTGGACAAGCCCATGAGGTCCCTCCTCTCATCCACTTCCTAGGAGGACACCGGCTTCTGACGGGTAGCAGCTGCAGAGAATACACACCCAGCGTAATCACAGCTGCTAACCACTGCTCTAATGAAAAGCAACACCATCTGATGGGCTTCCAGGACACGAGAAGTCTAGCTTTCTTTTAAAAGCAAACAACATGGCTCCCTTAGCAACCCCTGCCCAAGAGCTCCTTTGTTTCCACATCCACTTAGAATGTTCTCGCACCTGCCGCAGGTCCGGGCCTTAAGCAGTGTGGAGTGCTCACCCTGCCAAGTTGACGGAACCCATTTGCTCGCTGCTGCTCCTGCCGCCACCACTGCCCCCATGGCAGCTGCCCGGGACCACTTCCAGGAACATCCATGTCTCTCTTCTCTGCCCCTCCTGCGAGCTGTGCTTGGAAAGTGGGCACAAGTCTCTTATTTCCTTCAAATCTAGGTTTCATTTCTTGAGACTGGAAAATAATGTGCCTTTTGGCTCATTTAATGAGAAAATCCTTTGGTTAAAGCACACACAAACAAATTCCTCTTTTGAATCAAACAAAATTATTTTCCATGTTGCTTTTAAAGAAAATTAAGTAGACAAAGTGTCATCACTAAAGTATACCAAAATCTACTGGGAGATGACAGAAAATGGGAAGAAAACTATACCAAGAAGATGCTGAAATCATACTGAAAATCAAATGAGGAGGGAAGAGGCTAATCTTTCTCCCAGATGAACTCCAAACAATTAGGGTTGCCAGTCAAGTCAGTTAAAGCTGCAGTTCAGCTTCACTGAAACCTGCACTACAAAGTATTCCTTGTTGGGCTGGGGATGCAGCTCATGAGGAACACTTGCCTGGCATGTGTGAGACCCCAGATCTGACCCCAGCATTGTGGGGGTAGGGGAAGAATCTTAGTCTGAAAATCAATTTTGTGTATTCTACCACCATACAAATAATATATGTAGATATATGGTGTCACTAAAAACTCTGGTGCACGTTTAATTTTTTTATTTTTTTTATTTTTTTGTATTTTAGGGAAGGGTGTACAGGGTGTTCAAGGTCTCACTACTAGATTAGACTCCACCTAATCACTAGATTAGTGATCCACCTGTTTACAGCCTCCCAAAAGCTGGAATTACAGGTGTGAGCCACCACACGCCCAGTCTCAAATGCCATCTCAGTGTGCCCTGGGGGCAGGGCCGGCACAGCAGGCCTGGAGGATCAAACCCCCAACCACTGCTTTATTTTTTAAATATTACAGAAGACACATTGTCATGAAATTCCTCAAACCCTCCCCCTCCCTTCAAATACACTTACCTATGGTTCTTACTGCTTTCTGAAGCAGTTCTGGAAGTGCTCTTTCATAAGTGTCTTTCTTTGCACTGTGTGGCTGCCCTGACATCCTGACTCAATTCCAAATGTCTCCCTTTCACGGCCATTTGACTTTGGAGAGGAGCCAGAAGTCACACGGTGCCTGATCCAGGGCGTCAGGTGGATGAGGAGACTGTCATGCTTTCATGAGCCTGCCTTCTGCTGGACACCACTCAACAGCAGTATTCACATATTCTTGACTACATCTCACAAAGAGGTGGAAGAGGACCTCCAGAACCACTTCAGAAAGTGGCAGGAATGATCAGCATGCTCGAAGTAAGAAGGCATATTTTCAGGGGTTCATAGCAGTGCATTTTTCATCATACTAATTCTAAACATGTGCTAAAATTTTGTTTTTTAGATCACCCCTGTGCTTCTCCCTCCAAGAGACAGGGCTTTATCCTCACAATCTCTCTGAGGCTGGGATGTGCTCACTGACTCACTATCAAAGAACAGAGGAGAGAAAAGAAAAGCTGTACCTTTACAGTGGAGACATGTAGCCAGCACCAGATTAGCCAGTGACTGAGGTTAACGTCATCACTGGTGTCATGATGAAGTGGGGGGCTCCACATTTGGGGTGTTCTCCTCTAAAACCAGAAAGCCATAGCAGATACAATGGGACCCTGGTTTTGACCCTGGAATGGAATTTCATATTTAGCTCCATCCCTGTCCCATTTTTATTTTTTATTTTGAGACAGAATTTTGCTAAGCTGCCCAGGCTATACTGCAGACTGCAATCCTCCTGCCTCAACCTCTCAGAGTTCTGGAGTTACAGGTTAACATCTTACTTTTAATAACTCTGTGTTCATGAATGATGCTGACATTAGGGAAAATGTACAGATGTCCCATTAGTGTCTTTACAGCTCTTCTGTAAATCAAATTATTTCAAAATAAGATAAAAAGATACATTTTACAAGTAACATGGAAAAATTATGAAGAATAAACCCTGGCAAGCATAAGAAGCCTTTAGCAAAGACATTTCCCAATTGCAGAGGGGATTGTGAAAGCTGACTTGTGTGTTTCATTTTTCCCAGGTGCAGATACTCAATAACCCTTGCGAAGGCGGCGGCCAAGCAGGGGTACACATCAAACACAGATTGCTGCTGCTCAGAATGACATCCCACATGCCAAGACAGTTCACTTTGTCATCTGCACCACTTGTGGCATTTTTAGCTTGGGACATGGTTTGATGGCAACATGTGGGACCACACTGGGTGAAGCAGGTTCTTCCTGGAACTCTGGAGTCCTCTCCAACACTGTCCCAGGACCATGGTATCTGAATGGCCTGTGGGTGTGGAGGCAGGGCAGGACCTAGGTGCAGCACACAGGACTACTCTGTTGTGAGCCCACAGATACCGCCAGCCTGTGGACACAGCCATATGCTGCAGTCCTACTGGGACCACAGGTCGACCCCAGCCACCAGGTGATGATGCCACAGCCCCAAGGGGGCACCCACCAGCGATGACCTGAGAGCTGCTGCTGGAGATGCCAGGGCCAAGCCAGAGTGCTAGCTGGTCACAGGAGCACAGCTGGGAACTGCTGCCAAGACCCCCAAGCTGGCCCCAGGGACCATACGTGGCATACTCTGCCTTGTGTGTAACTCTATGTATACACATGTGTCCTTGGTTTCAATTATTCATTATTAATTGCAATCTGAAAATATGAAATAGAAAACTCAAACAAATAAACA